AGCAGACTAGAAGTGGCAAAATGGATATATGGTTGATAAATGGTTTTAGTTAAATGAATAGTGGATCAAATTGATCCAATCCAATTAAAACCATTTAATAAATGGATCTAAATGGATGTCATTTAAATGGATAGTGTAAACCATGATCCATCCATTTATCCATTTACTCTCCCAAATCCTAAATTTAAGATCCAAATGTTTTTTTCCAAAAAATACAAATTCCCAAAGTTCTATCCTTAAATCACCTAAAACCTTTTGGTAATAACAAATGCTTGTACTACTACTCTATTTCAGTACTTCATAAAATTAGTTTAGTTCCAAGAAAATTTAACTGCTGTGGTCAATTTAACCTTTCGTCATTACTTTAAGTATCATTTTGTAAAGTAATGAACAATTAAGAACTTAGCTACATTTTTATAACTTTTGAATGAATTGAATACGACTTTACAGTGAAAAGAAGTTTACGTTTCCAATTTTTTGCACTCCTATTCAAGAGTGATGTCTTGAATAAAAGTGGAGTTCTAATAAGAAATCTTATGTTATTTGACAAGTAAAGTATTTTCATATATGAAACTCCTTATTATACCATTGATATACAAGCTACCTTATATTACTTAGTAAATTAGGTGTCTTTTTTTTTTTGGATAGTTGGGTTAGGTGATAAGGGGAGAGGGATTGCAAGTATGAGGATTTGGAAAAAAAAAAGGTATCATTTACATATTTTAACCAATGTTGCAGGGACACTCGTTAGAAAAATTATTTTTATAAATAAAAGAATTAAAAAAATAAAAATTATTTTGACACTGCATGATGCATTCTCGCTTTTTCTTTACTTAAGAATATAAATGTTTGCAATCATTACTACATGAGAGTTTAATTAAAAAAAAACAAGAGTAGAGACTAAAATATAATTTTGAAAAGGATGGAAGAAGTCTAGGAGCTAGAAGCAAATAAAATGCAATTAATGTTATTGGCAACTTGGCATATGAGGAAGTTATGAAGAAAAGAATAGGTGGTCCCACAATATTAATTTGACATATGAGGAAGTTAAGAAGAAAAGAATAGATGGTCCCACAAGATTTTATCTCACATTTTTATAAATGTGTTTTCTATTTTTTAAGTTAAATGGATGTATATGGACAAGATGGATAATCCATTTAAATCCACCAACATAATTGGATTTAAATGGTTATCCATTTAAAAACATTGAATTTATATGGATCATCCAAATCCATTTAAGGTTGGTTTATATGGATGGATTGGTGGATATGAATCCATTTTGCCACTTCTAGGAGCAGAGGACATAAGGAATAAATTAGCAAGCGGTAGTATATAAAGAACCAAATGAACCACCACTGCTATAATAAAGGACCAAAATGTTCATATTTCCATCAATTAAAATACATGAAAGAATCAAACCGCCACACTTAAATAATGTCTCTTATTGTAAATCCAGTTTATAACTCATAAAAATCATCATTATATCTCTTTACAATTTCAATTCGAGACTTTCAGTTTCTTTATATATATCAAGATGTTGACAATTTATGTAAAAGAAAATAGAAAGATTACAGGTACGGTGATTTGCAAAGTTACAGACTGCTACTAACCACTTATTTTCTTAACCTATTATTAGTCTATGATCATCTTATCCCTAGCTTTTAAGCATTTTCACCCACAAAATTTTTAAATTTTAGACAAGTGTAGAGAATTTTAGACGCTTATGACTTTCAAAAGTTAGACTGTGTGTGATGTTACTATAGTCCTCATGTGTTTGACAACACAATTCATCATTTAAATTTAATGTATTTAGATCTTAATATATTCAGATACATTTGATAACAAAAAATTGAACATCTGAATTAATTAAGTGCCATTAAATTTTTTAGGCAAAACTTGCTATAAAAAATAAATGATAAACTTTTCACTTATCATCGAATGTGATATACACTCAAACGTATTTGATTTAATACTTAATAATTCAATAATTTAATAGATTCAAATTTCAGTTTTCATACTTCAATTTTATCAAATGCACCCTAAATACAATGATATGAATGTGTGTGCAAATTTTCTTGTACCTGAATGGAAGAGGAAGGTTGGGAAGTAAATGAGGTTTTCTCAAGTGAGTTGGCAGAGCGACCATGAATAGCATGTCACCCCAGTTAAGTTTTTGTTCCTCCGATACAACAAAGGCCTGTCCATATCCTTCTACATCGCCCGGTTCCTGGGCAAATCTCTTCTTCTCTTCAATCGTCAAATTGAAAAACTTTTGCATCTCTAGTTTCAGTTTGTCCACTAATGAAGAGCTCACTCCATGATTAATCAGCTGGTGACAAATTGTACAGTCACTAATTATTTGGTGCTGACTATTATAACACTTCTACATTTTAACAGCGGGCATGTATATCCATTTAAATTAGATGATTGTCCTTGTATAACAATTCAAAGAAGATCCCAGGAAAAGCAGGAAAGAAAAGGAGATCACTCCTATTACATTCTAGTCATGCATTATGTACTACTACTAGAGAAAACCAAATGAGTTCATATATTAGGGTAGGCATGCTCGCTTTTGACATAAAATTTCTGGATAATTACAAGAAAAGAAACATTTCAATATGAAAAAAAAAAACTTGTGGCAAGATATATCATTTACCTACAGTCCTGAAAAGTCATAGTTATTAACATAATAAATATTTCAGAATTATTTTATTCCCTTGAAAGTAAGTTAAAGTTGTGGTAAAAACCAAATTGAAATGACTAGTAGATTTTGAGCAAATACTATTACAATCAGACTCCATTATTAGGTCAACAACAATACCTAATATATGCATATACAAATACGAAATGACAAACCTGGAAGAAGCCCCATTCTTTGCAGGCAAAATGCAACTTTTCAAGCTCTGGATTCACTGATTCATCAGAAAGCAACCTTTGCATGTCAATTACTGGGATTTCCTCTGTGGAGACCCCATGAAGTTTGGTTGGATCAGGTCGTATGTATCGGGGTGGAACTGATGCAAATTTCTCCTTAGCCAACTCCTGAACATAGGGTACTTTTAGAGAGCTTCCAAAATTTATCATACCAGATTCCATGTTTGTGGTTTGTGTAAATCTCTACCTATATATATATATATATATATATATATATATATATATATATATATATACACGTAGCTCCAAGTTGCAATTGATATCAATTCATGGAACGTCTCTGGAGTGATGTATTCCTTTATCAATTTGTATCAAAATTGGATTAGTCCATCTCCAAAAATTGATGACTTTATTAAAGTAGACAACATCAGCCTAAAGAGAGCACATCAGTGCCCAGCCTGTCACAAAATATCAGTGTCAATTGTACTACAAAATGTAACCTTAAAGTCTTCATGGAACGTCTCTGGAGTGATGTATTCCTTTATCAATTTGTATCAAAATTGGATTAGTCCATCTCCAAAAATTGATGACTTACAAAATAGGATCCACATACTTTGCTACGCAGATGAGCTTGCGATTGTTCATTATTAAAGTAGACAACATCAGCCTAAAGAGAGCACATCAGTGCCCAGCCTGTCACAAAATATCAGTGTCAATTGTACTACAAAATGTAACTACTAACACAAATATTTAACCATTAAGACATTGAAAATACAAATAATAATAACGTACCTAATAATACAGCAAGTTTTATCACTTATTAAAAATTGTGTCTCAAAATCAATCTCATCTAGCGAACGTTCGTACTAAAACTATTTAAACCATCAATTGCAATTGCTCTATCAATAGTAGAGAATCTTCATCCAATTTGAGACTTTTCCCAAACTACGTATATACAATTAATATGTCGTTTGGAATTTTGCACTTCAACTATAAATGGATTGGTTTTAGGATAGAATTTTAAATTTAACATTATTACCCATGGAGTTGTTTTGCTTCTTAAATGACTCGTATACATCAGAGGTGTTAGGTTCATGAGTAAAAAGATTACGTCCCACATTAGTCCGAGAGATGGAGAAAGAGTGGTTAATATGTAAGTAAGGACCCAAGACCTAATGGCTTAAGCTTTTGGGTCAAAGTTGGGTTCCTAACTTCCATATTGGACTCTTTGGTAACTCTCTCGAGATGTTTCCCTCTATCAAGAATTGGTTTCATACCAAAGCAAAAGGTTTGTAAGTCTAACTATTATTGTAAATAAGCTAGACAGATTACCTGTTGTTCAATAGTTTAGTATCCATACTTCGTATAAGACATAATGCACTTGTTTGTAACTTTCAAAAGATTTTCATGTAGGAATTTTTTGTTTTGAGGAAAAGGGATAATTGTAAACTAATTTCCGAATGACAATAGCGAATGGATAGTTACTTAACTGGCATCAATAGTTTAAGTCACGGGATCGATCCCCTGCAATCACAAGTACTAATTCTACACACAAAGGCTACAATCTTTAGAAACATAACAATTCTTTTGCGTTTGCTAAAAGTTGTCCCTTCCCACTCTCATGCCTTATACAAAGCAATAGTATATACCAATCTCTCTCTTTGCGTACTCAATACTCATGCGAACATGTGTATGTGCATGTGTACGTGCCAGCAGGCATAAAAGGGTAAAAGAGAGAGGCTAGTGTGTTTATAAATAAACTAGTTTTTGACCCCCGCGCCCAGCGCGTGGCAGCCTATGACGAAGCCAGGAGTTAGACGCTTAGGGCTTAGGAGTATTTTTTTATGCGCAAAATGGCTCTTAGGAGTAATTTTTAGGCGCAAATGGCTATGAACTATTTTGAGCCATCGGTGGCAACTGGGGAATTGCCAAATTGCATAGTTGCAGAAATATATGGATTTTTTTATTTAATTAAAATATGATGACAGCAGGTTCAAGGGTAGATCCTTCCTAACAAAAGCGTCTCTAAATATAGTGATTGTATATTGACATTTTGTTTTAGTTAGAAATACCATAGTATGAGCTGATCCTAGATGTGTCCTTTAACAAATATGTCCTAGCTTGTGAGACATGAATCAGGCTACAAAATGCCATAAACTTAATTTTTAAATAATTGCTGTAATATGAAAGAGTATTACTACAATTAAAAATCAAACAATATTAGAAAAGCTTCAAGTGAACAAAAATACTGAAGCGTTATCAGAATTGAATCTCAAAGCCTATATCATAATCACTTATCACTTGCTTCCAAGCATCGTCTTCTTCCACCTTACTTATCCACAAAAAAAAAAAAAAAAAATCAAATCAGATAAGCTGAGTAAATTAATTTGAAAAAAAAAATTCCCTTCACAGGAGATAAAAAGTAAGAATTCTTGTATCAAATGTTTTTCTAAAAAAAGAACTTTGCTGAATATTTAGTGCAATAATAGTGCGACATTTAAGGATAACATTCCCTAGACCAATAAACAACAATTGAGGAAATTTGGTGTCTCCATAATAATAATAAAAAAAAAAAAAGAGTTCTGAGAACAAAAATTTCTTTTACTTTCCTGCAAACAATCCAATGAGGTTGCCCATGTTATCCCTTCTTTTTTTTCTTTTTTTTTTTAAAGTTTTGCAGAACTTCTAAAGGTTTTGTAGTCTAGAAACATAATAGAGAATATCAAGAGATGGAATGATTCATGACTTAACAAAGTAGAGGCGAAATTTTTTTTTTTTTCAGAAATGTGCCAAATGGAGCTTTTACAGTCCCCAAAAAAACACAGAATCGCTGAAGATGCACATATGGCAAAACTATAAGTAACATAGAACAAAAAATGGAGAAATGACAACAAAAAATAATGAAATTATTGTTCTTAACATGTTTATGAAGCTTTGCAATTGTAACATTAGAAGAATCCAATGCAGATAGCCAAAAGAAGAAAGAATACGTTAGATTTATTAGAAAACAGAGGAAAGTCGATCCAAAAGAAAAGGACACATTTTTGGGATTATAGTAAATCTTGCACTTGCTTATACGATATGCGAGCGTTTAATTGCTGAGCATATAAACCACAGAAAAAGAATTCTAAACATAGGATAAAAATTCAAGTCAATTTGTTTTCAAAGTTTCATTTGCAGTTTGTCTTAAATGTGTTTGGATATGTTAATACTATCTTTGGACAATATTTGTACTAAGCAAATGCCATCATAGCTACTCATTTAGGTGCTTTATTATCCTACTTTGAATGTAGAATTTTTTTTATACTAATATAACTATGTTTTCGACCATGTTAATAATGTTTGTGCAAAGTGCTTAAATAATTAAGAGAACTGTTAGCACAACCCCTCCTTTATGTCTTATTATACTTCATGAAATGCAGAAAGGTTTATGCTGGATTTGACAAAGCTGTGTTTTGCAAATGTAGATAACTTAGCAAATACATATTTTAAGAGAGAGTGAGCTTTACAACAAAGGTTGAATAAGTTGAGATTTATAAGTCATTTTAAGCTTAACAACTTAACAATGATATTCATCACATATATAATTTTCCTAAATTTGACCCATTTTTGACATTTTCCAAAAACCTTATTTTCTTGCTAGTTGAATTTCTCTATACTTCATGTGTAATTCAATTAAAGATGCTATACAAATGAAAAAAAAAAAAAAAAAAAAAAGTTTCACAAAAAACAGAACTCTGCAGATCGTAATGAGACCAAGAGTTATTTTGAATCCCTTAAAAAAGAAGTAATAAAGCAACAAATTGAGGATACCTTAATAAAATGTTGAAATTGAAAAGGCTTGAGATATCTAGATGCTCCGGCTGTCTTTATAACCTGAATATAGTATAGAAATTTAAGCATTGGAGTCAGCAAATCAGATATGTCAAGTAAACCACAGCAAAAAAAAAGGGTATAGAATTATAATATCACAACACAAGAACTTCAGAAGAAGCATCCTTCAGCATACTAAGAATCAATAAAACTCTAATCTGTCTACAAAACCTCAAAATCCATCAAAATAGAAACCTAGACAAATGAATACATCGCAACAGTTAACATTTAACAATTGAAGAATGAATCAAAGAAAAAGAACCAGAGGGAATAGTTCATGGAACATCTCCTCTTTCTTTTGCTTTTGCTTTTGCTTTTTTTTTTTTTTTTTTTGGTAAATGTAAAACTTCTCAAGGGATATTCATAGTGGTGGTTGTTTATGGAGGGGTTTCAAATGGTGGACCGCTCCTTTCCAAAGGAAAAAGATAAATGGGAGGGAAAGGGAAAGAATTGGGGATAGATCATTAGAGTGGTGCAAGGGTAAAAGCATATGGCATGTTGCACAAACAAACACTTAATTGCCTACAGATTAAACATTCGTCAAACGAAAAATTAGGCTGTCATCATCCCCAATAAGTACTAATGAAAAAACCTACGTAATCCACTCAATTCACAGGAAAACACAAACCAACCATAAAGGATAGCCTCAGTCTTTCAAAAATAACATATCACAATCTCAGCGCAGAGAACACACCATCAATCCACACAATGTTTGTAGAAAACCCAAATAACCAAGGGCTATTGACAAAATTACCATTGAAACTGGGGTCATGATTTCATAATTGACTCGAGAACACAATATACAAACCTATAACGTTCACTGTATCTAAGGTCATGGAACATTTGCCTTGCTCAACCTCCAAAAGTTCAGACTTTTCATCTAACCACCTAGGCCCATAAGACAGTCAATTTTTGGAAAACATGCGAAAAAAAAGCCATCACAAGTAACTTATTCATTAAGAGTAGGTATGTCAGGAATAGAAGAGTTGGGGAAAATCAAAACATGAAAAACACAAAAAAGTAGATAATTAAACAGTGGAGACGGATCAAAAAAGGGTTACCTCAAAAATTGATCACTCTATATGAACCCTATGCAATCTTTCAACATTGAATAACCAGTTGGTCCTGAAAAGCAAAATCAAAGAGTAAGTTTAATGCAAAGGCAACTTAGTGGTACAAGAGAACCTAATTTCATAATATTTTTTTCTAAAACATTCCATACATGGGAAAGATTAAAACAAATAAGCAAACATAGGCCACCTGGCACTAAATTAGAAAGCTATCTGCCAAAAGACAACAAAGGCAAGAGCTTTAATGCAAGGCAATGTAAATGAAATACATGCAAATCATCCACCAAACTATTTAAACCTAAAATATGAACAATATGTTATAGAATCTATGACCTGAAAACATAGAAACCAAAAAAAAAAAAATCAGGAGCAAGACCAATTACAGTAAAACTGATGCTGAAGTGGAAGAGAACTGCAGAGAAGACAACATACACGAAAACAGAGAAAAAGCACCACTATACCATAATCCTGAATAGGAAATCGATGGTCTGTCAAAACAAAAAATTTTGAAATTAAAGCCAAAACCAACAATTGAGAAAAACTTAAGAGGCTTATGCAAGTAAATCAATGGTCTATCACTTCCCAGATCGAAATCTGGAAATGATTCGAAAAATTACTGCAAGGCAATAGAGCTTCCAACAGCTGCTTCAACGGCAACTGATCGTGCTCTTTGGACCACGAACTGGAATGTTGAACTTGAATCATATGCCATTCACCTATTTTTTCCCCCCCAAAGATAGCTTTGAAAAATTAATTTGCAAATCTTGATGAATTCCTAAGATTATCAAAAAAACAATTTGCACATTTCAATAATAGGAAGCCTACAAGTGAAAATAAATACTAAAGTCACAACCTATTACCCTCAATCTTAGTAAGCATGGAACTCCTAAATTGTTACATCCCTAAAAGATAATGAGCAAAAAAATACAATTTATTGTCTCATGAAATTCAATCGAGTAAAATAATAAGAGTTCAAAGAGGAAATTTTATACAAATAATTATACAACGAAATTACTAATTTGTAAGGTGGTTTAAAAAACATAGGGAAAGAAAAGAAGGCTTACCTCTCCGTCGAGAACATAGATCTCATGAAACTTGTCATGCCCAGATGAAACCTGAAACGGGAGTAAACTATGATCTACATAGAAATACTAACGATAAAAAAGAAAACAAAAGACAATCATGTACAAAAAAATTTCTAAGATTGCACTTGAAGGGAAAACATATCTAAATTTTCAACTGCACATCTAAAAATAAATCCAGAGAGCCAATATATACAGAAAGATATTTATTTTAAAAAAAAAAAGATGGCAAGGAAAGAATTCAAGGAAAAATTTAGGAACTGATTATCAAAGGGAAAAAACTTTGATGGTCGAGAAAGTCAACAACATAGATTGATACTTCTAGTGGGAAAAAGGGAAAAAAATATAGAGGCGAAAGCTAAGAAACAGAAAATCTAGCTCCAACCTTAAGGATCTTGAGTCCGGAGGAGACTCTTGATACTCTGATTTCTTCTGCACCACTGATGCTATGAATTATAATGGTCTCACACTTTCAAAGTGAAATCATAGCGTCGCACCCTCTCTCTTTTAAAAAAAAAAACATCTTTTCTGCTTGGACCACTGGCTTTCCGTTCTCCTGCTTTTGTTTGCCATTTTCTATATCGAGTTGGTTGGATGTATTATTACGATAAAGAAGATGAAAGGAACAATATAAGAGCCACAAACATGGCGAAAATGACAGGAAAGAAAAAAAATAAAATAAATAAATATAGAAGTAGGTCGAGGGAGAAAAAATGCAAGTCTAACCTTAACCCTCTTGAGGCCGGAGGAGACCCGTAATACTGTAATTTCTTCTACACCGGGAAAAAATTTACATCACAAATATATACATATTATATGATAAAATTCGACTGGTAAACCCTCCAAAAAATCCAAAAGGCTAAAGAAGTCTTGATGATGAGAAAGAAAAATAGTCTTACAAGTAAAAAAATCCAGACCATTGTTGTTCTTCTTGTTGCTCTCGGTCAAAATAAAAGACAAAAACCAAAGGAAAAAAAAAGAGGAAGAAGATGAGAGAAATAAGAGGCTGATTGAAGGGAAGATAAGGTGAAGAGTGAGACAAATCGACAATATGATGAAGAAAGGAGAGGAAAAATGGGCATTTCCGACTCCTCGGTCCCCACCCCATCAGGTAATCACGATAAGGTTTAGGAAAAGAACAATAAAAGGGCACAAACATGGTCAAAATTACAAGAAAACCCAACCAAACATTAATAAGCGGGCACACAAATCTCCAAATTTACGGGCAAAACCGGACCACCAAGGGCATTATAGAGAAAGAAAATGCAAAGTCAATATCAGAAAATTCTGGAGCCACAAATTTGACCTTTATGCCACACTGGAAAGACCAAAATACCCCATAAAGTCATCAAAATTACCATCAAAACTGCCCATACTTGCACTGTAGCCAACGGTCGTTCCCCCTTTTATATATTTTAGATTTAGATTAGATTAGATTAGATTAGATGTGTGTGTACGTGTGAATGCGCATGCGAGCAAGCATAAAAGGGTAAAATTCAATATTTTGCTCCAAAGTCCACACAAGACCAAATAATACATTTTCTCCTCACTAATTCAATTGGATCAATAACTATAGGAAACCTTCGATTGTTTTTAACGCCATGTAATCCCACAAATAGATGCCATCATATAGATGTCAACACATGAAAAACTATGTTTTTAGACTCGGACTGAGTATCAACTCGGTCGAATTCAAGAGTCAGGGGTTAATGGATTCGATCGGGGTTAAATCAGATAACGTCATAAATAAAAATTGTTTAAAAATTTAAATATTGTATGTAAAATACTTAAGCACATGTTAATATTAATAAATGTATATTCATATATATTTGATGTTTCAAATATATTTAACAAGAAAATACAAAGAACTTAGAATGATCAAGTAGCAATTTATATTATTTAATGGACATTAACAAATTTAGAATTAAAATTATGGACTTAATTGAAAAATAACACCAAACTTTAGGACAATATTTATAAAGTATGAAATATTTGAGGTATATTAATAATTTTTAACAACCTAGGGGTCAAAACATAATACTGAAAATGCTTTGACTTTTTTAAAAAAAAAAAAACTTTGACACCAATAGATTCTTCCAGTTTTGTTGGTCTCACTCAGTCAAATCTGATTTTTGACCTAATTTGACCGAATTTCTATCTATTCGATTTTTTAGGATTACACATATTAGACACTTGGCCGATTTTCAGTTCGATCGATCGAACCAACAGATCCAGTCCAAGTTTAAAAACACTGATGAAAGACACACGAAGAGATAATGCTCTTAGAAGTGATACTTCATATGTCTAGCTCATTTGGTCCATGGACTGGATGAGGTTGGACAAGTGTATTAGGAATATATTGATAAGAGTTTATTTTACGTATTTTTAGTGTGTTTTATTAGTTAATTTTGGTTTGATTATTTAGTTTTATAACTAAAATAACTAAGGTTTTGGTAAAAAACTACATTTTATGTTAAAATGGCTAAACATTGCATTTTATGGATTTTTATGGTAAAAACTTCATATTTTGTAGGTTTAATGATTCAATCATCAAATGAAGTGCATTGAGAAGATATTTGGATGATTGATGATGGATTAAAGTGGTGAAAATAAAATATGAAGTGTAAAAGGAAGAAATGCAATTTGAGGACAAAAATCAAGAAAAGTCAGCTTTGACAACTCAGACACATTTTCGTATTTTGACTATATCAGGAGCTACAATGATCGGATCAAGGTGATCTTGGTACCATTTTGAAGCTAAGAGATATATCTGCATTTGGTATGAAGACATCAAAGTCCAATTCAGCCGTTTTCTTGGTCAAAAGGTCGAAACACAGAAACTTATCTGGATGGTCGAAAGTTGAAGCCCAGAATTGACCAGTCTATGGTATTTTGACCATATCTCTGTCCACCGATCTCCAAATTAGATGATTCTTGAAGCATTGGAACTCTAATTCAAAGGGCTACAACTTTTGTGTTTTTCACAAAAGTCAGTTCGGCCTTCATCATGGAGAAAAATGCAGTTGAAGTGAGGTCAAAAGTAAAAACGTGTCTGGCAGCCGAATTTCTGTAATTTGCTCAGCCATTTTTCTCATCTTCACACTACTTTCCAGCTAGAGTTGGAGAGAAAACGTAGGCTGCACATGCTTCAGAAGACATAAGGAAGAGATATAGCCAAGGTTCCAAGTCAAAAGCCATTATTTTTTACTTCCTTAACAAATTCAGATTTGGAGAATCATAGCAGAAATTTTTGACTGGTAAGGGAAGGACTTTTCATCAGCTTATATGCAGAGACATTTGAGGTCTAAAAAATGATACGGGAGAAGCTTGAAGAGTGCAGAAATGTAGTTCTTCCATTTCCTTAGTGTAGGATAGTGTAGTAAGTGTAGTTCATCCATTCTTGTATAATGGCTAGATTAGGATGAAAATGGAGATGAAGAAAGAGAAGTTGAAGCTCAAGTGACATGGGTTATCTCTTCTCCAACTCTTTATCTTTTGTATTGGATTCTTAAATATAGTTAATATACAAGTTCTGGAATTTATGTTATTTATGTGTCTTTAAAGTTTATGCCTTGGGTTTGGTTGAACTTTCTATAATTGTTAGTGTTTATTATTTGGCTATTTGATTGCTAGTATTTGAGCAAGTTATTTAGCACTTTGGCTCTTGAAATCATGATTAATCTGGTACCATTAATTGTGATTATCTAAGGTGTTATTTCTGCAATGAAAATTGAGATTTAACATTAGTTCAAGAAGTGCTAAACATAGGGAGTACACTCACGAAAGTAGAGGTGCACCTATGTGGTTTTTAGTGATTCATTTCATGTAATTTCACTGAAGAAATAAACTTGTAGCTAATTTCATAACCATGAGAATAGGTATGGATTAGTTATAAGTATAATTGATTCACTACGAAAGTAGGATTCAAATGCATAAGGAAATTACACCATAATTAGCCTAGATGTAGTATTCAATGATCCAAATATAGCACTTGCATGAGTAGTTAGGGATACCACAACCTAAGGAGCTTTCATTTGTCATTTTGTATAATTTCAGTAGGTTAAATTTGTTATAATTTATTGATAGTCTAAATAATAGAGAAGCTTTAGTAATACCGGTAATTGTTCACTCTTCCCTGTGGGATCGACCCGATATATACCCTAAACTACTAGTTGATCTGTATACTTGCAGTGAACGGGTGTAATTCGGTATTTTTTAGCTTGCACGTATGTAAAATACCCGTCAAGTTTTTGGCGCCGTTGCCGGGGAAGATTTGGCAATATCGGTGTGAAGAACAACTTTATTAGTTTAGACATAATATTAGTTATATTGTGAATGTTATTTTCTGTTATTTTAGTATTTTATATGTGCATGTGTTTTATCATCTAGTCTTCTTACTAATTTTGCTCTTAAGTTGTTTAAAAGCAATTTTAGGTAATGAGGAGGGTAGGTCAATTTGGAGGACAAAGCTTGAGAAATGAAAGATTGGCAATGGATGGTTGCCTAGTGCAAAGCTCCTTCAACAAAGGTAACCAAGAATTTACTGATTGTATGTCTTTTGAAGATGGTTTAAGGTGCTTAAAGGCAAAATTTGATGTTATGATGTTACAAGTTCAAATGGACACAATTATGCATGAAATTGAGCAAGGGAGGAATTTTAATGCTTTTAATTCTTATCATGTGATTTGTGACTTGTGTGGAGGTTATCATGCAACTAATACATGTATGCAAGCACAAAATGTGGATTACTATGATGAATTAGAGCATTACAATCCTTATTTTGATCAATACAGTGCTAATTGGAGCAATTCTCTTTCTTATGGTTGGGAAAATCAATGTGCATATAGTGATTATCCATATTTTTATGATTACCAATCTGAAAATGTCCAATATAAAGCAAAACCATCTTGGGAGTTAGCTATAGAAAAATTAGCTAATGTGACTTCCGACCGTTTTGATAGGATTGAGAAAAGAATAGATGAATTAACTTCTCACTTTGATAGAATAAAAGATCAATTGAATGCATTGTGTGAAGTTATTTCTTCTAATAAATTGCAAAATGATCCTAGCATGAATGGTAGGAATGTTGTATGTGAAAATGGATTGCATGTTGATGAAAATGATGAATCTCAATTGTGTTTCAATGAGCAAATGTCCATTTCACAAGATAATATCTTTGGAACTAACTTTGAGTCTCAAGAGGTGAGTTTTAATGACTCATTTTTCACCCCTCTTGAGGAGTGCATTGAAAGTATAGGTTCTAAGGGTATTGCTGCCCAAGATACTCTCATGGCATTCCCGTTGGTAAGTTCTCAAGTGGTGCATATTCAAGGTAATATTTATGAAACACTTGAAATAGGTAAGTCACTTCCATTTCTCACATCATTAGATCATGTGACTTTTGCTATAAAGTCACCATTTAATGATCCACCACGACCAAAAATGGTGGATTATTCGTTAACTAAGCCTCCTTGAAAAATGAGGTTCAATAGTCGAGCCAACGACTATAAATAAAAGCGCTTATTGGGAGGCAACCCAATGTTTTGGCTATTTATGTTATTTTGGGGTGATTTTATGTTTAAAGTATGTGTTTGAGTTATTTTGTTATTTTTCATTTGTAGGTATTGGAAATGGAAGCAAAAGTGACCAAATGAGGTGAAAAAGGCAAAATTTGATCAAGGAACTCAACCCCTCGATTTGAGTAATTGTTGTTTTTGATCCGTTACAAGGGGCTAAAATGCATGTTTTTAATGTTTTACATGTGTGCACATTGATAAATTTTACAAACAACTGATTTATGATGCATTTTGAGTGATTGGGGTATCATTTGTAATTTTTCAAAGTTGGCTTTCTGCAAAAATTTCGCAGAAGAAAACGCATTTGGGCTGAAAACGCGCCTTAGAATCGCGTTTTCCATAATCGCGTTTTCGATTCTGCGCCTATACTGAAGAAAACGCGCATCAAAACGCGACAGGAAGTCGCGTTTTCTACCAAGTCGCGTTTTCCAGCCTGATCAAAAATGAAAA